AACATCAATAAATACCCCCACCCACTTGAGAAAAGAAAAGTGTTATTCTGATGCCTTGACCAAAAAATAAAAAATACCGTAATAATATTAAATCTATCGAATTACAGTTTATTTTATTATTTCAAAAGATTTTTGTCTTTAAAAACTGACAAGCTCAAACGATAAAAAATAAATATAAACCAAAAACATTAAAATTCTTTCAAAAATTATAAAAAAAAAGTCAAGATAAAATGCAACACCAAGATCTCATTGTCACCATTAGACCTGCTCACAACCCCAACCCCAACCCCAACCCCAACCCCAACCCCAACCCCAACCCCAACCCCAACCCCAACCCCAACCCCAACCCCAACCCCAACCCCAACCCCAACCCCAACCCCAACCCCAACCCCAACCCCAACCCCAACCCCAACCCCAACCCCAACCCCAACCCCAACCCCAACCCCAACCCCAACCCCAACCCCAACCCCAACCCCAACCCCAACCCCAACCCCAACCCCAACCCCAACCCCAACCCCCAACCCCAACCCCAACCCCAACCCCAACCCCAACCCCAACCCCAACCCCAACCCCAACCCCAACCCCAACCCCAACCCCCCCAACCCCAACCCCAACCCCAAAAAAAATAATAAATATAATTGATAATTTATTTGTTTATTAAGATATAGAAAAAAGTTTTATTTACTTTTTAATGTTAGAATAAATTAGTATTAAAAAAATTATTTAATTATTAGTGAGAAAGATATCCTTTTAGAGCATATTTGTGTGTGTCTATGTATGTATGTATCTTAGGTTTTAATCGTTAAGGTAAAAATTAAAAGAATTAAGCAAAAACTGATAAATTTTGATAGATTATTTACTTTTTGAATGTTTGTTTTGTTTCTTTACGATGAATGATTAAGATTTTAAAGAGATCAGAAAATATTACAAGGGAAAAGATCAAATAAAATAACAAGGAAATCATTTGTTTTGCATTATTTTTATTAGGAGATTTGCTATGAGAGTTAATTAATCAATAATATTAAATCGATCAATAAAAAAGGATACAAAAAATACATTAGTAATTAACTAAATCATATTATAAACAAAAATAACAAATAGATTGAAATGAGCGACGGAGAGGACTATAACGAAGATGACTACTATGAAGGTGAAGAAGAATATTACGATGATGGAGGAAATATTGAAGAGGAGCATAATGATAATCTTGAATTGCCTTCCTAGTTAGTTAAAAGTAATTTTTTTAAGCGCTATAATGGAATAAATATATATTTTGGGTAATCAAAACTGTTTTATGTCTAAACATATTTTTCATGGCTACTTTCAACAAAAATTTGGGTTAATTAATCAAAATTTTAATATTAAAGAATAAAGTAGTGTTGCAACTCATAAGAATGTCGAATTCGTTTTGAAGAATGAGATTATTAGCAGAATTGAGAAATCTATTGAAGCTGTCTAAAATGAATAAGGTATTTCTAGTGGAAGAGCGCTCTTTTTGCTTAAAGCCTGCAAATACAATGTTTAGGATACTTAAAATATTCCTCATAAGATCATGGATGACATATACTTTAGTGAGACCAAAGAAGCTACAGAGAATAAGAACAAGAATGTAAAATAATTATATTTTGTTTGAATTGAATTGATAACTGATATTTGCAAATTTTCTATATACTCTATTAAATGATATTTCACTTTCCCGATCAAAATCAATTTACTAAATAAAGAAATAAAATCAGATATTTAAAAGAAAAAGCAAGCATTAGAAATAATCTTATCTCTCATACTCATACAATTTATCTAAACGAAAGCTAATCAAATAAAAAGATTTTTGCAGCACCTTTGGAACTAAAATTTGATCTAATTTTAAAAAAACAAATTTCTTATAAAATGCAAATAATAAGAATAAAGTGAATGATAAATAAATAAATATTTTATCATTTTTAACATTTTATTTCTATAACAAAAATTTTTATTAAGTTTTAAAAAAAAATAAATAAATAAATGAATTATTTTTATAATATTAGACCTGTTTGTAATGCCAAAAAGAATTGGACAAAACTGCATTTAATCTTGAATGCAGCCATCGTTATTGCATGTAATGTGCAGAAAATTACATAACAGAGTAATTTAAGCATTAAGAGGATGAAAATAGAGTGTGTTGTAAATGTCCCTTCGCTTCTTGTAAAGAAAGATTCGGCTTTTAAGATTTCAAGAAGTTATTAGATGAGTAGGCATTCAAAGATTATTGCAAGTTCTTGGAAGATGATGCTTTAAAAATTGCAGATTATGTAAAAAATAATGATTAAAACTTTAACTCTCAATAAATTAATTACTTTATAAATTAATATAGATTATTAGATGCCCTTCAAGTGATTGCATGTACGTTATCGTTTAGATAGATTAACTTTCTCTCAAATAATCTGCTAAGAGCATGCGTTGTTAATGCAGAACTTTGTTTTGTAGTTCAGTAAGAATACATTTATTAATGATTGATTGAGATATTCTTAGAATAAATAATATTATTTCATTTATTTTTAACGCTCGTAATGATCTAATTTAGAAATCAATGATTCGAAAGAATCAAACATGTTTTTTAAATGCGTTGGCTTAATTTTTGCAAAATTATGAGTAGACGCTTTCTAAGATATTAGAAAGATACTCAAATTAATTAATTTTTATTTTTCTGATGGATATTTAATCAATCAGACTGAATTAAATTTAAAAATCTTTTGTCTATTTTTAGCTTAAGAAAATATTAGAATAATAAATTATTTATTTTTGCTTTTATTAAATACCTTATTTAAAAAATAAATGATAAATAGTGTGGTAGCAATGCTCACGAACCTTTAAAGTGCAGTACTGTGAAGATATTTAACTAATTAGAATAAGAATAAAATTAAATTAGGACATTGAAAGAAAAGGAAAATTTGTATGTAAATAAAAAAAAAACATTTGAATATTCAAGTTTTTCACATTCTTCTGACTTTTGTCCAAATGGATGTCCTAAATTCCTAGTTGAAAAAAAAGATAATCCTAAAGTTAAGCAGTGCCCATTCTGCGAAGGTAATTTTTGCATAGATTGTAAATAATTGTATCCTTGCAAGTGTGTTGAGAAAGAAGAATCTAAAGAATCTATGATGGAGGCAGAAAATGATAATCAAAAAAGCAATGAAAAGTAAGTTGAATTACCTACTGTTGTTGACTATATCTTACCTTTAATGAATACTTTTACTGCATGCAAAGATAATTTACTTTATGTCAAAGTTGCTAAGAGAAAAATTTCTGCTTATCTCCAAAATACTTTGAAATTTGTATCTGAAAAAGGAAAATATGAATCAGAATTGAACTTTGTTCATTCTTCTTTAGATGTCCTAGAAGGTATTTATTTTAAAGAAAGTAAGTTTAAAAACATCTTATTAATTATTTATCTTAAAAATAGATCTTTTGCTCTTCATAGGTCACGCCAATTTATTCATCAAAATAGGCGCATCAAGCAAGGGTGATTTGCTTAAATTTTAACTCGATGAATTATAAAATCAATATGAATAGCTTAAAGAAGCTCTCACAAAAGATTATAACTAGTTTTACAAAGATCTAAAACCTGATGATATCTTTGGAGCTAGATTCTAAAATCTCAAAGAACAAGTATTAGCAATTTGTACCAAGGTTAATAGAAATCAATCAAGCTGCGCATCAGATTTCATTGGAGGTATGCTTCTTCTTTTTCTTTTTCTTATTAAATCAAATTAGATCTATCTACTTATTTCAGCTTGTATAATTTAAAGATAAAATACAAGTTTTAAAATCGTGTTAATAAAATGGAAAAATAATTTATTAATTTAATTTTTTTAAAATATAAAAGTCAATTTAAATGATGGAAATTTCGAAGCATACTTCAAAATCTATTAAAAAGAATCCCCTTAAGCTTTAGCTACTATAAAGAAGGAATAAGAAAGAATAGATAGCGAAAACAAAGCTAGAAATAGTAAGTTCGGAATGATGGGATTCGGAGACTTCGGAGGTGATATGATGAGAGGAGGAAGAATGCATTAATATGGTGGTGGTCATGATTATCATCCTAGAGGAGGTGGTTATTAAAACAGAGGCATGCCAAGATAGAAATAATAATAAGACTCAGATGATGATGAAGATCACTATCCAAGAGGTGGCCGTTAACATATGTAGAGTAATATGGATGATAGCGATGATGATGCTGACAAAATCTATAGTTAAATTATGGAAACTCCCTAATAAAAATTATTGAAATTATTGAGTTTAGTTTAACTAAAATTCCCAAGATACTTTGAAGAAGTTAGAAAATAAAAGACCTATATTGATGCTTTCAATAAATTAGAAGAGTTAAAGAAAAAGGATGAACCTATTTATAAATCAGATAATATCCTAGTAATTCTTCCTAAAGGCATCAGAATTATCAATCATGCATATGTAATGAATTTAGAGCAAGAAAACATTTAAAATAACAAAGTTCTTCAAGAAATTATCAACTAATATAAAGACATCTTCAAAGCCTTTGATGATAAAATGTCTAAAATAAAAGAAGTGACCCCTTGGAATGCTTAATTCTTTGATTACTTTGAGTTTTTGATTATGAATGAGTACAAAAAATTGAAACCTAACGAAGAAGCTTAAGTAGAAGAAACTTGTATTGCCTGTAAGAAACCATTATATCCTCTTGATGATGAGCAATTTGCTACTAAAATCTTATCAAGCTCTAAAAATATATCTGACACAGATGTAATTATAATTTAAGACTGTTAGCATCCAATCCACGTTGGTTGTTATAAACCTCTTGTTACACCATAAGTCTATTATAAATGTCCTTGCTCATTAGAATATTGTAAATTTATTAATAAATAAATAAATAAATATCTTTGGAATTTTATATTTATTTACTCAATAAAATAATTTATTTATTTACTTACTTACTTACTGTGAATGATATATATTAAATTAAAAAAGTCCTATAAATTTTTTCATCAAATAAAGCTAAAATTAGGCAAAAAAATAAAAAATAAAATTTATCCATTTTTAAAGATAAAAGTTATAGAAGATTTGAGGTATTTTTTTTACAAAATTTTAAATAAAATAATAATAGTTAGACCTATAGGTAAAAGTATTTAAGCATTTGTTAAGGATCAAGAAGATTACTAATATGTAGAAATAATATACAGAATTCCAAATTAAACTATTAATAATGTCTAAATTAAAGCCTAGAATATTATAGCTTATCTTTATCCTTATGATGAAACCTAATCTCAATTAATATACAATTGTTATAATTGTTATGTAGAAGCTTTTAACAGGGGAATAACTTTTGATTTTTCTGAAGATGGTAAGGTTTAGTTCAGAATTTATCACCAAACCGTTGCTCCTCCTAGTAAAATAACTAAATTAACTATTCTTTTAATATATTAATTTTTTTATTTCAGGATTTAAATAGCTTATTTAAGACGATAGAGAGTCAATGTATGAGCTTAAAAAGCAACTTGAAAACTTTAATATAAAACCAAACTTCTGAAAAATTAATAACTTGCATTATTCACTTACAATTTAATTAAATTTTGTTAGCTTGTTTCCAAAATACGTATGTACACACATTTATGTTTGATTTTTCATTAACTAACTAATATGATGACTCTTTTTAATTATCTATCTATCTATATTGTTATTTATCTTAATTTATCATCTTTACAATTTTATATAAGAGTTAATTTTTTAATTAATTAATTAATTTTTTTCTCTAATTTCAAATATCCTATTGTATGTTAAATATTTTTTGTATCAGTTTTTTATCCTAGTAGAATATGCTTTTTTCATTAATAAACCTTAACAAATTTAATTTTAATGAACATATCTTTTTAAATTTTAAACTTTTGAGACACTACTCATTTTTTATAAAAAAGAAAGAAAGAAAATATATATTGATTTTAAAAACTATTCTTCACTTGTAAAATAAATAACATTTTTGTGAGTTTGTTTTGACTCTATTTAAAATATTTATTTAAATAGAATATTTATGATAAATTCTTTCTCTTAATGCTGTTTGATCAAAAAAAGTAGTTAAATATTTATTTCTACTTTATGTGTTTCTGACAGCTAATATGATAAATAAATTTTTTTAGATTACTAAAGAAGAAATATTCCTTAGAATAAATTGATTAAGACTGTTTTCTAGCCATAGTAATAAAAGTTTCTGATATATTAAATTGTAAATAATAGTGTCTTTTAAAGATTTTTTGGATCAAAATGATGAAATTTTTTTGTAAAATTGGATTTATTTATATTGAATAAGAAAATTATTTAAAAGATAAACGAATGAGTATTAGTGAAAATTAAAAATGAATATAGGAATAAAATATAAAATACATACATAATAATCAAATAATTGTTTATTTATTTTTTTGTTGACTTTTTTATTGATTAATAATGTTTATATTTTTTTTGTTAAATATAATTATAAGTAATTATTTATATAAAGAGATAGATGTCAATTAAAGTAGAAATTTCTGAGTTATCGGAAATCTTAATGAATAAGCTTGTTGTTATTATTGCAATTTTTTTAGGATTGCTTAGGAATGCTTGCCGCATTTGTTTTAGTATGAAATTTTCATCCTGTCTCTCATTTGGTCAGCAAACTCTCTTAAGAGAGAGGCACTTGCTTTTTGTAATTTACTTCTTCAAATGAGAGTCAGTCGATGAAAAATTGAGCTTTTAACTTCAAGAATTTTTGTTCAAGAAGTTCTTGTTAACGTTCTTGCAGATATCAGCATAATCACCCAAATCTTCAGCAAGGTATTCGTGTTGAGCTTTATTTTTACCCATAGAGTGGTTATTCTATCTGTCGTTTCTTTCTTGTTTTTCTTCAGGGACCTTTTGGTGTTTTTTGTCTTGAACTTTGTTATTGTGTGACATTTTATAGAGGAGATTGTAGTAGTTAAAACTGTTTTAGATTGTTTCTTATTTACTAAATTAGTTAGTTCGGATTGATTTGCAAAACTTGTGTTAGGCTTGAGGGCTTTTAGTTTTACGTAAGTTTTTTGGCTTGTTTTTTGTTGCTTTTTTTGTGTGTTAATTAATACTTTTTTATTAATTTATAATTATTATTAATTGATTTCTGATTTCGCTGAGCTGGCTTTTAATTTGTAGCTGTCTATAGCATTCTGCCAATAATTATTTATTTACTATATCAAACACTTAATAAATTCTGCTTAGCTACAAAGAAAATTTGAATCAGATGAATCTTATCTTTAAAAACAATAACTAAAATTAATTAATTTATTAGACTTATTAGCTAGCTGTTCTATCAATATAGAGTAATTATAATCGAACATAAATAAATAAATAAATTTTTCATTATAATAATTTTTTTTAAATTGTCATCAGAAATTTAATTAACTTCTTCTTTCTTTCTTTTGTTTGTTTGTTTTCATTTATGCTATTTCAATGTAAAACTTAAATCAAATACAGAATCTTCTAGTAGATTCTATTAAGATATTTCAAAATATCTGTCTTAAGGGATCTCAATTAATCTATTACAATAAAATGTCTACTAACTAATAAGATAAATATTTATTTTTTGCAATAGATTATCGCGTTTCGCTTAGCATAGAAATGCCATATTTGCTTGAAAATAATCAAAATTTTGTTGGGGAAATTCGTCTATAATAAATATACTTCCCACCACATGAAAATTAATTAATTCAGTATCAAAAAAAACAATCTCTTTATTCTACTAAAAAAAATGAAAGAAAAAACTTATTTAGAATTTTGCATTAATAGAAAAAATAAAATCGTGCATCCAAATTTTATCGTAGATTTTTTTATTATTTTACCATTTTTCATGATTTATGTCTAAAAATTTTGGTCTAAAACAACCTGAATAAACTCTATCCTTAGAATTGTTTGTGTATTTTTTTCCAAAAAGAGGTTTTTCATATTTTAGTAACCTATTTTATTATCTATCTTAAATTTTTTCCATATTGATAACAAAGCAAAGATATATTTTTTAAGATAGAATTCACTGGCAATATCTTTTTTCCCTAAGAATTTATAATAATTCTGTAGATTTTATTTTTAAAACGAAAAAAATATTAGCAAATAGAATAAAATTTCATTAATTTTTTACATAAACCTTTCTATCTATCCTATGAAAAAATTATGTAAGCAAATAATAATAATAATAATATAAAACTAATCAAGAGAAAATTTATAATAAACATTTAAATATAAATAATTTTTATAATGCATCCACTTTTTCTTCACTTAGGCATTTCTAGTTTTAAAAACTTAAAAACATTTTAAAGCAAAAGCAAACAAATAAGAACAAAAATAATTTTAAGTATAGTTAGTTTAGTTTAGTTGTTCATGATTAATTCATTAATTGATTGATTGATTTGTTCATTCAATAATAATTTATTGATTGATTGATCGATTTCCTATTCTAACTACTATTGAAATTTATGTTGTAAGTAAATCCACTTTCTAATTTAATATAGATACATAGACAATTTTAGGTATAAAAACCAACTAAAAAATAATATAAAACACTCTCTAGTTAAAAATTCATTTTTCTAAAATATTTTCTCTCTTTTTCTCTTCTTCTCTCAAAAAAAGATTTCATTTCAGATTATTTAGATTAATTGTATAGATTTAAAAGTCAATTTAGCTAAAGAAAAACAAAAATATCTCTTTTTTCAAATATAAAGCTTATAATTGATGTCTTATTTAATTATACATTTTTCTTAAGTTTAATTCTATTTAGAAAATGCTAAAGCAACAATTAGGATTTGATTGGACATTTTATGTTTTAATATTAGCTTGCAGTTTGTTAATTTGTCTTGTAAATCAAACTTTGGATGTATAAAGTTCATTTTTATCAAATTTAGAAAATAAAAAGATGATAATATATCTATTAATAATAAATATGATCGATCATAGAGATATTTTAAAAAACAAATTTATAGCAATTCTAATGCGATTAAATTCTCAAATCAATGTTTTAATTATTTAATTAATTCGATTTCTAGTCGAAATATAAATGCTCTTAAAAAAATTAACAAAAAAATGTTTCTTTTTTTCTCTATTTTGAATAGAAATTTCCTTCATTTAATATAAATCATTATATTACGTTTAAGTCTTTATGGAAAATAGACAAAATCTGCGAGTTTATAAAAATAGTACCAGCCAAAAGAAATATATATATTTATTTATTTACAAAATATATTAGCTGAATGTAATTAAATAAAAAAATAAATAATATATTTTCATTTTAAGAATAATTTACTTTCTAAATCTATTTTACATTAAAAATTACATTTTTTAAAAAAATTATAAAAATAAATAGATTCAATCTTTTGTTTTCTTCATATTCATTTTTTGGTTAAATGTAAGCCTTTTATATATATTTAATATATATTATGAATATATTACATATATTAGAAATATATTAAATATATAAATAATATATTCATAATAAATTTAATATAATACAATATATTAAAATATATATTAAATATATTTTTATAATATATATTTTTCTAATATTTTTTGTATGTTTCAAAAATTTCAATTTAGGTTTAATTTTTTTTAAAAAAAGTGATTTTTTTCTGGTATTAATTTATTAATGAGGATTGATAGCATAAAATTTAATTAAATGTATTATTTTAAATTATTTTCTATTTTATTACTTGTTATTATGAACATATTTCATATACCTATTTTCACTAATTTGATTTTCACAATTAAAGATTAAGAAAATCCAAATTTGTGAATACATTCTACTTTTAATTAAATTTGAAAGTTAAAAACTTTAATTAGTAGATATTGCATTAATAAATTCATATTTTTCAAAATTAAGTAAACTTAATTTCAGTAAAAATGGATGAAGAAAAGAAAAAATATTTTAAACTCAAAGATGTAAACTTTTGATTATAGTAAAACTAACTCTTACTTAAATTTATTTTTATGCAAAAAAAAGTTTTTAAATTCGCCAATATCTAGCCACACAAACATAGAAATAAACTTGAGGTATTTTAACACAATTTATTTTACATATCATTTATTATTTTACTTAAAAATATGTTTATTTTTAATATATTTATTTTCTTTGTTTATTTCTGATTCATAAATAAATAAATCAATAAATTATTTATAGAAAAGCGAATTTGAAATTAATTCATTTTTTAAATTCATTTAATTCTAAATAGAAAGCATTAATACATTTTTTTAAATTTTAATGAAATTTATTTTAATCTTCAATTTTTTATAAGCTAAAAATAAAATTTACTTTAATTAAATTAGTTTATCTTCTTTTTCTTATATTTAATAATACTGTATAAAAAGAGACATTTAGATTGGTGATAATAGTGTTTTAAATCTCAGCTTAGCTTTAGCAAAGTGTAACAATCTATCAGTTTTGACTCTCAAATTAGAGTAATTAGCTCATTTAATAATTTAAACTATTAAATTTAATCTCTTTAATTTTTTAAAATATTTATATAAATGTGTAATAATTAATTTACTAATTTTTCTTAATTTTTAATTTTAAATAAATAAATAATAAACCTATTTAAAATAAAAAGTTAGCAAGAATTAGGATATTCAGGTGTATAATATCTAGCTAATGCGATTGCAAAATGCACTAATCTTACAACTTTAAATCTTAATTTTAAGTAAAAAATAAATAATTTTTTTTTACTTTTTCCAGTAAATAAATACCAGTTAAGCAACTCTAAAAATGTTGAAATAGTTTTCATATTTATTTTTTATTTTTATTATGAGTTTGTAATTTCTAAAATCAATTTATTCCCTTAAAAATAAATTAAATAAATAAATCCTTATTTGTTTCATGGCTATTTTAAAATTACTTTAATAACATCTAAAGTTATAATAAAATTGGGGATAAAGGACTATCTTATATAGCACATACTATAGGAAAGCTGATGAATCTCTAAATATTGGTACTCTAGCTTGAGTAAATTATTATTTACCTATCTTTTTTATGAGTTTTATATTAAAAAATAAATGTTATTTTATATCTATTATATTTCTTTCTCCAATTTCATTATATATTAATATTATTCACACACAAAATAAGTATCAATCAAATTTGTGGCTTTGGTATATCAAATTTAGGCTCTGAATTAGCTTAATGCAATAAATTATCAAATTTAACACTTTATCTAAGGTAAAATTATTCATCCATCTATCCATATTTTTTGATTTTAATATTAATATTTTTTAAATTAAGTAAATATTTTTTATTTATTCCTTATTTTTATTAAAAACCCTATAATTTCATTTTCTATTTCAATACAACATTTTTATTTTTTTGTGTATTAATTTGAATTATTTAAGGTGAGGGTATAAATTAGAAAATATATAAATATATAAATTAAAGAAATAATTAGAGTAAATATTAAAAAATTTTACATAAATTTAATTAACATTCAAAGTTGAATTTCATTTTTGAATTTATTATATTTTTATGACCTTTATACTTTTTTTCTAAGGTTTGCTTTAATAATTAAAGCTTTAAATAATGTGTTTTATATATTTATACTTTATTTTCATTTAAAAGTGGTAATCAAATTGCAGATTAAGATACTTCTAATTTGTTTTCTTCTTTTACAAAGTGCAAAAATCTCTCATCTTTGACACTTGACTACTATTAAAAATTGTTTTATGAAAACAACAAGTTTTTCAATTTATTTTTTTATGAAATATTAAAGTACTCCTTACTTGTGCAAAGCCTTAAAATTGTGTTCTCATCTTTCAAATTTAACTCTTGGCCTAAAGTAAAAGAAATTTAAATTACTTAAATTTTATGAAAGAAGTTTTAAAAAATTCTTTTAATTATTAATATTAATGTTTTTTTTAATTTTAATAAGAAATTTATTAATATAAGCATTAATTTTTTTCTTCTTCTTTTATTTACTGTTTTGAAAAAATTACATGATCTAAATATTAAAAGTTATGAATGTATCGGTGATTAGGGAATATCAGATTTAGGCTAGGCTTTTGCAAGCTGCTTTAATCTTTAAAATTTAGTTATATGCCTAGGGTAAAAATAGTTTATTCTTTCTATTTTAAATTTATTTTTATAATTAACTAAAAATTTTTGTTTTAAAAATGGTTTACTTCAACTGATTTATTTATTTACATTTATTTGATCTATTTTTATATGCATAATTATGATTTATATATTAAAGAGGAGATATCATTGATGACTAAGGTATGATAAACTTAGGTAGTGCTCTTGGATAATGCATTAATATCAAAACTTTGGAGATTTACTTTACTTTGTAAAAATATTTGATTTTATTAATACATCTTATTTTTTAGTTATTAATTTGAATGCCATTTATTTATTTATTTATCTCTGGCTAATATTTTTCATATAAATTAAACTAAGCTTTTTTTTGAATAATATAGAAATAGCTTCAAAATAAATAAAGACATACCTAAACTAATCAATAAAATTCTAAAAATAAAAAAATTAGTCTATTTTTTTTATATACTTTGAGAAAGTTGACTCATAAAATGAATTATATTTTTAAAAAAATACAATTTTATATTAGTATAAATTAATTTATAAATAAGTGTATTCTCATTCATTTTAAAATTTATGATAAAATATTATTAAATTGTCAAAAAAAAAATTTTTTTTCACATTATCAATCTATAATTATATAAAAACAATAATCTATTATTTCATTAATTTTAATCTTATTTTATTGTATATTCAGTAAATTTTTGATTGTCTCCGAACATCACTAAATCTCAATATTAAAGCTTTTTATAGGTTCTATTTTTATTAACTTTATTAAATATTTGAAAAATAATAATTTATTTATTTATTATTTATTTTTTTTTTAAATTAAATTAAATAAAGAGATATTTCTTTAAATTATATTTTATTATATTTAATAAAAATTAAAAAATAATTTTATAAAGAAATATGAAAAAGAACATTTAGATGGATGATATTATTTATGAAATTAATAATTTTGGGTGAAAAAAATTGATTTTGAGCTGTCCCAAACCCACGCATTTAATTAGTTTCCCACATATTCATTTTCTATTATATATTTTTATTCAATAAAATTTAATACTTTTTGAAAAACTTTTATTTTGAATTCTTTTCTTTTTGATAGGCAATTCTAATATTATAAAAAATTTATTTAATTTTCTGTTTTATTAACATTAAAATATTCAATCCTAAAGGAATAAATTTGATATTAAAATTTTTTTTATTGTTAGAGTTTTCTTACTCTGTTTTCTATGGGTTTTATCTAAATTTTTAATGTAAATTGTATTTTTTCTTTTTTATTGATTAGTTGTTGATTTTTTAAGTAGAAAATTCTATTAATAGGATTATTAGCAAGCCTTTCATTTTAACATAAAAAATTGTTTGTTTTTAATTGATTTGTAATGAATATTATTATTTTATATGAAATTATAAAGCATAAAATTTGAAAAACTACACAAAAAATTAATTAAAAAAATAGAAAAATAATCAATAATTTAAGCACTATTTACTTTTCTTTCTTTTTAAGCATATAATTAGTGAAACTAAAACTTAAACAAATGCTATTTATAGTAGTAATAGTAGTTTTAAATAAATTGTCTTATAGTTAGGTCATAGACAATTGTAATGTTTAGAGCGGATTTTATTTTAACATGGATTAAAACTCTTGTAATCAATGCTCTAATTAATGCTATGCCTGCTTTGGAGAGAGTTAGTGTTCTGAATGTCCACAATCATCATACTTGGTAAATTATAAACTAAAAAAATTTGCATTATTAAAAAGAATTTAGAGTTAAAAAACAGGCAATTGCTTAGATACATGTCCTGAAGGAACATTTTAGTCCCAATTCTTTAGTCAATGTCAAGAATGCTCTATTAAAAATTGTTAAAGATGTAGTTCCCCTAATACTTGTTCTTTATGCAAGCAAGGTTGGGTTTTGTCATAAGATCATACATCTTGCCTCTAAGATTAATGTTTTTAAAACTAAAACTATGTGTACAATCCAGACCTTTAAAAGTGTCAAACTTACTGCCCATAAGATGAAGATAAGTAAAATAAGATATGCTCTTCTTATTTCCAAATTGGCTACACATAATCTTCTGTTATTCCGTCAAACCTTTACAAAAATTGTGTTATAGTAAAATTTATAGTCTTTTAATTAAAGTAGAAGTAACAGGTAAATAAATATACAAATAATCTCTCTTTCTTTCATTCTGAATGCTTTAAATTATATATATTTTTATTTTATTTAGATTGCAGCTTTGTGTTAAGACTAAATCATTCTTTATAGCTATGATGAGCTTTAGCCTTACTATACTTTCAAGATAAGTGGAATAGTTTAAGACGCAACTTATTTTGAAGATGTCATGTATATTTTAATAGAGTCTTCAACAACATAAATAGTAACTTTTGACACTTAGAATGTTTTCATAGAATACTTTGATACTTAAAGTTAATGCAATAGCTAAATATATAACAATTAGTATCTATTTTGTAGATCTGAGATCACTATTGAGTAAAATATTTTTGCAATGGTGGATATTTTTACTTTAAAAAGTTATCAGTTTTAATCAGATAATTCAAATATTGAATTAATTAATTCTCTCCAGCAGAGTACTTTAAATAATGGCCGAATACTCAAAATAAATGACACATCGCTGACTAAAGTAGAAACGCAAAATTTGAAAAGAAATCTCCAAGATGATAGTCTTAACTATGAACCAGAGCCTTATAATTAAAATATGTTATTAATTCCATTTGATATTCCTCTAATTAGAGTTCTTCCTAGCAACTAAACTTCTACTTAGTCGCAATATTATTATTAAGTATTTTTGCAGATTAATAAAGTTATTGGCTTTTCAAACTAGGATAATAATTTTTACTATTTCAATTTAACTACGTTAAACTAGCCACTTCTAGCTGTAAATATTCCTAATTCTGGAGGAATAATTTGCGAAAGCGTATATGGCAATACCCCTATTTTTATTATGTCATAGTAATAAGACAATTACTATAGCTATTTCTCATCTATAAGTTTCAACATGACATCTCAGCAATATTAATTAAATAATGTAATTTAATAGATTTTCACTTTTCTTCTTAATTTGAATAATAAATATATTACTATTAACAATTAATTTTCATTCCTATCCTTTTTTTTTCTACTATTTTTAATTTCAAATAAATAAGAAAATTAAACCTCCCAAAAAAAAAAATTTTTTTATTTGATTACTGAATTCAACTTTTTCGTTTAAATAATTATAAATTTTGCAATTATCATTTTTTTAAAAGTTTACACAATTAGATTACAGCCAAGGAAATTTAGAGCAGTGTTACATTGACATAACACTTTAAATAGTAATTTTGTCTAATTAATAAGGTAAGTTTAAAATAAATTGTATTTCAAATCTATTTACTATTTTTTAATAAATTAATTTAGGATGCCAAATTTATAATTTGTTGGATTTGATAAATAATGTATAAAATGCTTAAATTTAGACATATAATTTTACGAGAAAAGACAATATTATAATAGAACAATAAGTATTAATAACTTAAAAATTTATAGCAACTATAATTACTAATGAGAAAAACAATGAATTAAGAATTATTAATTTTGATTAAAGGGGGTTTTAAACAGATAATATTGTTCCATTTGAATTGCTTATAAATTACATTGGATAAACTGAATATTTGACATAAGTAATATATGATTCTATTAACCAAAGAATTTATATCTCTAATCAAAAAGAAATTCAAATGATTCCATTAGACTAAACTAAATAAAGAGCTTATGCTTCTGTAGAGGGAAGTAAAATTTAATAAAAATATGGAGATTTGATAGATGTTTTTTATTCTGAATAAAATGAAGCAACATATTTTACTTATAAATATGGATTTAGCATTATTTATAAAAATTAGGACAAGCAACCATTGGCTAGCTATCTCCACTTCTAAGTACTGGCGTTTAATATCTTTAATGATTACTTTTTCCTATACAATAACCAGTTTTGTGTAATTATAGACACAACATAAAGATAAATTTTAACATTAAATATTGGTGAGTTTTAAACAAATTAAATTTAGGTTTAATAAAATGAAAATATCTTTTTAGCAATTTTAAATAGCTAGGATTAATATTTAATTTTCTTATTTTCTGGCTATAAATAAATTAATGCATATACAATTAATATTGATCAATCATTAAATATATCATTAATAAAATTAATGGGAAGTAGATTATTAATTTTAGTCTAATCTTAGACAATAAGATAGTACTTAATTAAAAATAATATTTTGTTTAAAGAATCCTAGTTTAATGGTGGAGTTTTACCTAGTACTTAAAAAAATAAATATTTATATTCAGTTTAAGATGAATCTAATTTTATATTAACATACGATGAGGAATCTTAGTAAATAAAAAATTTTAATTATTTTTCATCAATAGCTACTTCATAATATTGCAATATTAATCTCTTTACAAATACAATATCCAAAAGATATTTATCAAGCATTAATATTTTAAATACATAAACATAGTAAAAGATTGAAGTACGATGCCTTTCTTACGTTTCATGTAATTCTTATCAAAGTCAATTTTATTCTATTTTTGTGACTTATAATAACAATTTAGTTAAATTAGATTTAATCAAATTTAATTTAGCTTAAATAAATTATCCTTATGGATCTTACAGCTATATTTAATAAGAAGAACTAAGAATGATATAAGCTTACAAAAAGAATAATAGTATTTATGCTTTTTTATCCATCAACAATGTAAATTTTACAAAAATAAATTTTATTTTTAGTCAAACTTTTTTAAATTAATAGAACTAAACATTTATTTATGATTTTGATTATATGAAGTTCAAATAAGTGGTTTTAAATTCATATAAAGAAAGTAGTAAGAAATATAAAGTATATGGAGAAGATCAAATTATATAATTTAATTCAACTTATACTTCCTTGATCTATGATAGCTACAATGTTTTTACAAATTAGACAATATAATATTAAGATTTGTTTTATTAGACTTCTGTGACTTAGAATTATATAATTATGGAGTATCCTGAGCATTTTCTATTGTTTAATACATAAACAAAGCAATTTTCAACCATACGTAACTTCTTAAATAAAAAAAATTTTTTTTGCATATTTAAAAAAAAATCAAACATTTTTATTACCAAAAAATGCTTATATTAATTTTTCAATTACTTTTTAATATTTAATTTATTACAATATATTAATAATTTATTAAAAAAAAATAATTAGAAACTTAAATTTAATTTGGAGACGATTATATTATTAATAAAAAAATATTTTAAATTGGTTAAGGTATAGTGATTTTATTATAAAGCTTAAACAATAACTACTACTTGGTCGATCAAAATAATAAAATTATTAGCAGTTTTTTTAACTTCACTGAAGTATAATACCAAAATGATTTAAACATAATTGTGATGCAAGACGGCAAAAATAATAAACTGCTCATTTAAAACTTAAAAAATGGTTAAGTTATATCATATAACAATTAGTTAATCACATCTTATTCCACAATAACGGATTAAATTTTATAAATCAAAACGCTTAATAGCATCTTAATTTAGTTTAGTTAGTTTGATTTATTAGCTGTGTATAACTATGAAAAATCTTCATTTTATTTAATATGCTTAGATAAATAAATAGCTTTTTACTCATAGCAATTATTATAATAAGACAATATAATAATTTGCTTGGATTTTAATACAATTATTAAATTTGAATTGTTCGAACATAGTTATAAATTTATTTAATATAATCCTCCAATTAGCTTTATTTAGATGATTCCATAATTTATTAGTTCCAAATTAAATTATTATAATTTTAATTAAGATGTAATCTACTTATTTTACTCACTTAAATCTATAATTGCTTATTAACTTGAACCTCACTTTTAGAAATACTGCTCTATAGATATTCAGTAATATATGGTCTATTAAATATTTCCTTAAATTCAAGTAATTTCTAATTTAAATTAAAAAAATATTTTTTAATTAATTTCAAATATTTTTAATTTATTCTTTTTAAAGAGGAGGTTTTTAGTTTATAATTCTTTTTTTAATTTTAAAAATTTATTAATTTTTAATATTTTAATAAAAAAAATACATAAACCTTATTAATAAAATTTATGTCTCCTCTACCTTAAAAATATAAAAAAAATATAAATAAATAATTGATAAAATATTGTGATTATAAATTATTTATTATTATTTTAGAAAGCAATTTTTCTTTGTGAGAGTAAGATTTACATCTTAGATATGAATAACTGTACTTCAAAAATAGTTAATCTTGTTGATTTGAATACATTCGCAGTTACCAGCCTAAAGATATATAAAATTATTGTTGACACTAAAAATGATTTATTATATATTATTATTAGTCCAAGTTTAAATGTTTTTTAATTTTCTACTTAGTAATATCTCATGAGCTACTAGTATAGTTATGATAGTACTGTAATTTAACCTTTTCTGATTAATTAATCAAGCGAAATAGCAATTTAATCTGAAAATTAAATTGTAGTTTTGGATGTTTTAACTATTTTATTTTAAAAAAAAGAAAATATGAATTAGCTAAGATTATAAAATAAAATTAATTTTAATTCAACCACATTAGCTGTTCTTAATTAAAATACAGGTGTTTTAATTTTTAAAAATTTGACGACTGATTTAAATTTGAAGTAAATAAAGCTATAAAAGAGCTATGATATTAACTAGTACAATTTGTTAATGAATAAAATAAATGAAAGCCAATTTATTTTATTCTTATCTTCATAAATGTATTAAATAGTAGATGCTGAAAAAATGGAAGTGATTCAAATAATAAATCTTTAAAACTCATGCTGGATAATCAAATTTTATTAACAAGATGTTTATTGTTTACTATATTCATAAACACTAATTAAACTAGAATAGAATTATTAGTTTGCTTAAATCTTTTAAAATGAAAACATCAATTCTAAAATTATTCAATTTTACATTTTATCTGTAGATTTTTTAGGATTCATAGATGAAAGTAATTAGCTGTCTATTTATTCTTAGAAATATTAAATTCGTTCTGTTGTAAATATTCAGATCTTGAAAACATCAAAAGTAAATTATTTATTTATTTATTTATTTATTTATTTATTTTGTTTTTAAAAACTATTAAAAAATAGATTTAACTTTTTAATTCGACATATTTAGCAATAAGTTCTTCATAGTCGTTATAGATTTTATTAATTGAAATTAATTAAACTTCTTTAAGATTTAGTAATGTTTTAAGCATAGATGAATAAAATTATATGAATGATTTTACAATAATTATAAAATTTAATCTACCAATTTTGATATATTCTTCTAATTATGTTGCATACGCATATGATTTAAAAAACTCTGTTACTCTTTCATATCTATAAAATGCTTCTTAAAAATCATGCAAAATATTGTACGATGATGATTATTTATATTCAGTTGGAGTTGCTAGTGTAATCATTTATGATATATAATTGCTTAGATAAATTAATCATTATAATTTAAATTAATTCATTTACTATCAAATAAAAAGCATTCAAAATTTTTATAAAGATTACTTTATCTTAATTCTAGAAAATGGAATTCAGCTAATTAAGATAAATTACTACTAATCTATTTTAATTTAGAACTTTGGTAATTTAATTTAACCTGAGTTAATTTCTTTTAGCTATATTGTAGATCAGAATGATTAATCAATACTGAAAACTGTCAATATCTAAATATTGTCTTAAGACTCTCTATTTAATTTATCTTGTCAGAATTAAGAAACAAATTTATATCAAAATTAAGAAAATTCATAAATTGAAGTACTTTACACTGATTTCGCATTAGATTATTTTAAACATGTAAATAAATAAATGTTAAAATCAATTTAATTTTAAATATTTTGTTTTTAAAATTTTTTAGAAAATTTATCATGAAAACTTTGTTTTTTAATTATTGTTTTAAATAATTTATTAATAAAGAGTTAAATTTAGTAGAAAAATGCAATGAGTTCAGGTAAATAAACAGGAAATTATATAATTTCTATTTAAAGGCAAAATTAAGATTTGATTGTACCTTCTATACCTTTGTTTGAGAATTTCATTTCAGCTGCGACATTAATTTAATATTCAACATAATAAGAAGAAAATATAGATAATTAAATTTATTAAAATTTAATAATTGAAAATTTTAACTTTTTATCTCCTGTAATCTAAGATAGCAATTTGTCTTTGAAAATTGATTATATTAAAAGGTTGGCCTTTATAAGAGTTAATTTGTTGCTTAATGTAACTTCGCCTTACTCAGAGATTAATAAGTCTTTATTATTAGATGAATTAATATTAGATTAGGTTAATTTAATATTTTTTAATAAAACTTTAGCTATTAAAATTGTTAACTGCCCAAAAATTTCTATTTAGAAATTAAATATTTTAAGTTAAAATTTAAACAGAACTGAAGCTGGTCTTAGTATTGAAAATGCTTAAAATGTTATTATAGATGAGCTTAATATTAAAAACTGCTCCTATGAAAACTAGAATAACACAGGTCTTTCTGGATTAATTATGTTTAATAACATCTCAAATATTTATATTAATACTTTAAACATTGAAAATGTTTAATCTTTAGGTTAAATTATTTAAATTTTCTCTAGCACTAATGTGACAATCAATAATTTAACCATTTCAAATTGCAAATTATCAGAGTATAATTTACTTGAAATTATTAAATCATAAAATATTTTTATAGATGATTTTAAAGCTTAAAACATTTAATGGTTTAATTAGCCTACTTCAATTTCCAAAAAAGAAAATAAATTTTCTTATTTAATTTATATTTAAAGGGCATACGAATCTATTTTTAATAGAGCTAGAATTCTAAATTTTACTAGTGTGGGAGTATTAAAGGCAGAAAACTATTATAATGATGATGATGCTACTTTATCTTACAATAATTAAATTGATTTTAATTTCTTAAATATGACAAATATTAATAGCAATCAGGACTTTAATTCAAGTAGCACTCTGATTTATATATAAACGATAAATTCTAACTTTAAAAACTTGTATTGTTAATAATTAATACTAAACAACGCATTTATAACTATTTAATCAATCAACTAAACATAAATAACTAATTCTAAATTTACAAATTTTAATTTCATGAATTAAAATTTTGGAGGTATTTTAAATTTATCTGGCAAAAATTTTGTTTTAGAAAATGTGGTATTTTAAGATTGTTTATCTCTAGGTGTTTCTAATGCTATAAATATAATTTAAAGTTCTTATTTATTGGTTGAAAATAGTAAATTTATAGATTTAAATTGCTTTCAAAGCACAATAAATTCAAATTAGTGTTAGTCTGGAGCTGTGTATCTTAGTTAGGTTGGACTGGCATAATTTAAAGATAGCTTATTTAAAAATTGTTCTTCTTCATCGTTTGGAGGGGCTTTATATGCAAATAACTTTAATATGCAAGGATCTATTTCTTTGATATAATGTGTATTTTAGAAATGCTAATCTTTGTATAAATCAGGAGGTGCTCTTTATGTTTAAAATACATAGAATTTTACTATTGTCTCAAGTATTCTTTTGTTGAATAAAGCTCAGTCTGAAAGAGGAGGAGCAATAGCAATTTAAGCTACAAAACTTTATGTTTTATAAGCAACAATATTCTAAGATAATTATGCTTAAGTTGGAGGATCTATTTGGTATGACTAATAAAGCAGCATTCAAATAACCAAAGAGAGTAAATTTGTACAAAATAATGGTAAATAATTATTTCATTTATTTTAATTTTTCAAATTATCTTTATAAATAAATAAATAAATTATTAGCAAATTGCTATGGAAAAAATATAGGGTCCTATCCTCGTTCTATAAAAAGGGTAGATTCATAAAATTTAGTAATAGAAAATAATGTGATTTCATAGATTTCAAGTGGAAACTAACTACCATATAAATACTATTTTAATTTATTTGATGAAGAGAATAATCCAATAAAATGCTTTAATATAAATAATTAGCATAATAATCCATCACCTGATTTAATTAAAGAATTTGATGTCTACAATTTGTAAATAGACCTTAAAAGCAATACAGAAATAGGCATTAAATAAGAGCAAGTTTTAATAAAAAATAATATTTTATAATTGTTTGAATTCAATCCAATTCTGATTTATAAGGGTTCTTAAACTCAATTAATAAATATCGTTTCTAATAATTTTCTAACTACTGATTAAAACAATGGTCCTTTAAATATATAACTATAACTGAATTTCAGAGATTGCTAAAGAGGTGAGATAATCTAAGTTCAAAATGAATTTATCACGTAATTTTAATTATTTTTTTTATATTATATTTCCATTCATTTTTTGTGTTAAGTTGTTATGAATGCCCACAAGATAGATACTCTATAATAATACCTAATATGATCACTGATAAGAATTAACTTTAATGCTAAAAGTGTCCTACACAAGCCTAAAATTGCAGCGGAAGTAACATTATTCTTAAGGATGGATATTGGAGATCAAATAGGTATTCTGATAATATCTATTCATGCAATTCATTAGGGTGTAAAGAAGATAACATAAATAGCAAATTTGGGTGTTCAATAGGTTATGTTGGACCTCTTTGTGATAGCTGTGATAGTAAGGCAGATATTTGGCATGAAATATACAGCCGAGATAGCAACTAAAAGTGCAAGACTTGCAAATCTCTATCCTTTCAATATTTTTACTTTGTTGTAGTCTTTATTTGCTATGTTTTCTACATCACCTATAGCATCAATAATTAATTTGATAAGAAAATTTTACTTTTTATTTTAGACACTTTAACGAAGTTGAATATTTTAATCACAAGCAAAACACGCGCTCATTCCAATGATGGCTTTCTTAAAATAAAAATATTTATTAACTACTTTTAGATTCTCTAAATATTTTTTGTTTTTATTAGAGTTCCCATTTAATTCTAGTATTTTATTGATGCTTTTGGTCATCCTGTTAAGATGACAATATCAAGTTTTGATTGCTTTTTGAAAATGAATGACAAATTCCCTTTATGGGTATTTAGGATTCTGACTTAAATCATTCAAATCGCTTTACAATATTTAGTTGTTACTACCTTGGTTTATTTCATGATTAGAAAAAAGAAAAATAAAATAACTTTTAGATAAAAAAATTATTATTACATTTTTGATTTAGTTTTTATTTTCTTCTACTTATTTTATTAGCCCTCCTTGTCTAAACTAATAATCTCAGGGCTTTTTTGCTAAGAAATAGAATAAAAATACTATTTAATATCATAACTTGATTATGAGTGTTATACTGATTATCATATTGCTTATATTTCTGCTCTTTTAATTCCATTAATTATTGTTTGGTGCTTATTGATTCCTTTTTATTACTATAAAAAACTTAAAAGTTTCTAAAACTCAGATAAAAAAAAAGATGATTATCTTTAAGTTTTAATTTATGGAGTTTTATTTAAAAGCTACAAAGTGGATTATTCTTATTGGGAAATAGTAAAAATGATGAAGAAATTAATTTTGATGATATTAATCAATACAAATCTCAATAAAACTTTTCAAATTACTTTAATTTAACTCATTTTACTAATTTATACACTTTTGTTAATAAAATTATAGCCCTATCAAAACATTCAATTCTACTAATGTGAAAAAAGTCTCAACACAAAATTAAATATTACTTTTCTTCTTTTAAACATTATTAATATAGATGGCTCGAATATCTTTTTCTATCAATTCATAGGATATTTTGTTATTATTTTACTTAATATCTAAGCAATTGGATACTTAATTATAATATTATTAAATAGACTAGAAATTAAAATTCATTTAAATTCTGAACCAACAAATATATTTGCTTATAATTTGCTTAAACTTAAGCAAAAGTTTCCTAAATTTTTTGGATTTATCTATTTTAAAAAAGTAAATTTAATAAGAGTCAATTAGCTTTGGAAAAAAATTATTTCTCACCATAGAATTTAAAAAATTAACTAAAAAAGTATTCTAAATTAGAGAAACAAAGAACAAACTTTTATTAGATCTACAAACGTTACAAATATCAGCTACCCTAAATAGATCCCATTTTTAAAGAAATAAATAAGTCATCAAGAAAGATTTAGCATTGACCATAAAAACAGTTTTGATTTCTATTCTAATAATTAGGAAGATATAAAAAGCAATAATAGTCCTTAGTTACTTATTAACGATTAGCAACAATTTATATTCGATTCAACCTTAATTCAAGAAAGCGTAAGTTTTTTATACATAAAATTTAATATTATTTTAACAACTAAATAGGATCAATAAGTCTGTCTGCCCTAGCCTTTCAAAAGGAGCTTTTTCTGTGACAAAAACTATTCCCCAACGAAATTTTTTTAACCAAAATGAATTCTATTATATTTTTTACTAATTATATGATAAATATTTATTAAAAATAGTATATCTTTATATATATATTAAGTATTCTCGAAAATTTAAAAATCTTAAAAACTTGTAAATAATTTATTTTTTATTATTTCATAACTCACTTCAAAAAATTTAGATGTAAAAAATTTTTTATTTTTAAAATTATAATAAATTAAATTATAATTCTATTATCAAATATAAAAATCAGATTTTTTAACAAATAACAAAAAAATTTATTTCATAATAAGTGACATCTAAACGACGAAATTTTTGAATGGTATCTTGCTTTTTCTATATTTAAGTGGAAAATACTTTTTCAAAATATTATTTATTATAACATATAATATTCAATTATTCAAACATTTAATATTTATTCATCATTTTTTTCCCACATATTTATCACCATATTTTTTTTTTAAAGACAACTAACCTTTTTGATTTAAGACACTTGCTTATTGCTTTAAATTTTTATGATTCATTCATATAGTTATAACTTTTATAATAAATTTGTGTAAAATTTAAATAAATATTAAATAAAATAAACTATTAAGCTAAAAATTATTTCTTAAATTAATAAATAAAATATATTAGTGGAATAAAAAAGATAAAAAAAATAAGTTAAATAAATGCTAGAAGCTGTTTTGTTTTATATTTAAAAATGTCACAATCCAAAACAAATAAACTTTTTTTACCCAAGATTAATTTTAAAATTTGAGAGATTAATGCAATTTGCTAAACCTGAACCTAAGCCTGATGCACCTACGTTACCAATTAAATTAAACCTTTTTAAATATTGATAAAAAATATATATAAATAGTTAAATAGAAGGAAAAAATGAAGAAAAAATATGAATTAATAAGATTAATTAATTTATAATAAAAACAAAAGTTTAAAATAAAATAATTAGTGAGTTAAATTAACAAAGAAATAAGAAAAAAAAGTAAGCACAATAAAAATAAAAAGAAAAATGAGCTTTATTTAAATTAGTTTTTATAATTAAAAATATCACAATCCAAAACAAATAAACTTTTTTTACCCAAGATTAAGTTTCAAATTTGAGAGATTAATGCATTTTGCTAAACTAGAACCTAAGCTTGATGCACCCACTCCACCAATTTTATTGAAACTTTTTAAATATTGAAGAAAAAATATATAATTAAATTGTTTATTAGAAGGAAAAAATTAAGAAAAAATATGAAATCATAAGATTACTTAATTAGAAAGAAGATAAAAAAGCAAGCACAATAAAATAAAAAAAAAGTTCTTTATTGTTTTAAATTAGTTTTTATAATTAAAAATATAACAATCCAAAATAAAAATAAACTGTTTTTACGAAAGTTAAAGTGTCAAATTTGAGAGATTAATGCACTTTGCTAAACCAAAACCTAAGCCTGATACACCTTCATCATCAATTTAATTGCGACTTTTTAAATATTGAAGAAAAAATATATAATTAAATAGTTAATTAGAATTAAGAAATGAAGAAATAATATTAAAATTAATAATTAAAACAAAAGTTAAAAATTAAATTATGAGTTAAATTAACAAAGAAATAAGAAAAAAAGCAAAAACAAAAAGAAAAAAGAGCTTTATTGTTTTAAATTAGTTTTTATAATTAAAAATATAACAATTCAAAACAAATAAACCGTTTTTACTAAAAGTTAAGTGTCAAATTTGAGAGATTAATGAACTTTGCTAAACCAGAATCTAAGCTTTATGCACCCATTCCACCAATTTGATTGTCACTTTTTAAATATTGAAGAATAAAAATATAATTAGATTATTAATTAGTGAAGAAAAAATATGAAATAATTAGATTAATTAATAATAAAAGCAAAAAAGTAGAAAATAAAATGATTAGTGAGTTAAATTAATAAAGCAATAACAATAAAAAGAAAAAAAGATCTTTATTGTTTTAAACTAGTTTTAATAATTAAAAATATCACAATCCAAAACAAATAAACTGTTTTTACCCAAGATTAAGTGTCAAATTTGAGAGATTAATGCAATTTGCTAAACCAGAACCTAAGCCTGATATACCTTCATCACCAATTTAATTGAAACTTTTTAAATATTGAAGAAAAAATATATGATTAAATAGTTAATTAGAAGGAAAAAATGAAGAAATAATATGAAATAATAAGATTAATTCATTAATAATAAAAGCAAAAGTAAAAGTAAAATAATGAGTTAGTTAAATTAACAAAGAAATAAGAAAAAAAGCAAGGACAATAAAAAGAAAAAGAAAAAAGATCTTTATTGTTTTAAATTAGTTTTTATGATTAAAATATCACAATACAAAATAAAATAAAATGTTTTTACTAAAGGTTAAGTGTCAAATTTGAGAGATTAATGCAATTTGCTAAAGCAGAACCTAAGCCTGATACACCTTCATCACCAATTTAATTGCTACTTTTAAAATATTAAAGAAAAAATATATCATTAAATTGTTAATTAGAACTAAAAGATGAAGAAAAAAAATGAAATAATAAGATTAATTAATAATAAAAGCAAAAGTTTAAAATATAATAATGAGCTAAATTATCAAAGATAGAAGAAAAAAAAGCAAGCAAGCACAATAAAAACAAAAAGAAAAAAACCTTTATTGTTATAAATTAATTTTTATAATTAAAAATATCACATTCTAAAACAAATAAACTGTTTTTACCCAAGATCAAGTGTCAAATTTGAGAGATTAATGCAATTTTATAAACCAGAACCTAAGCCTGATGTACCCATTCCACCAATTTGATTGCCACTTTTTAAATATTAAAGAAAAAATATATATTTAAATTGTTAATTAGAAGGAAAAAATGAATGAAATATATGAAATAATAAAATTAATTAATAATAAAAGGGGAGCAAAAGTTTAAAATTAAACTATTATTGAGTTAAATTAAGAAAGAAACAAAGAAAGAAGATAACAAAGCAAGTAAGCACAATAAAAATAAAAAAAAGAACATTATTGTTTTAAATTAGTTTTTATAATTAAAAATATCACAATCCAAAACAAATAAACTGTTTTTACCCAAGATCAAGTGTCAAATTTGAGAGATTAATGCAATTTGATAAAACAGAACCTAAGCCTGATGCACCCTTTACACCAATTTAATTTTAACTTTTTAAATATTCAAGAAAAAATATATAATTAAATAGTTAATTAGAAGGAAAAAATGAAGAAATAATATGAAATAATAAGATTAATTAATAATAAAAGGGGAGCAAAAGTTTAAAATTAAACAATAATTGAGTTTAATTAAGAAAGATAGAAGATAAAAATCAAGCAATCACAATAAAAAAAAAAAAAGATTTTATTGTTTTAAATTAGTTTTTATAATTTAAATATATCAAAATCAAAAATAAATAAACTGTATTTACCCAAGTTCAAGTGTCAAATTAGAGAGATTAATGCAATTTCCTAAGGCAGAACTTAAGCTTGATGCACCTTCATCACCAATTTCAAGGGCTAAGCGACTCGAGTGGGCGAGTCGGAGGGTCTTAGCAGTGATATCGGGGGTTCGAATCCTATACCGCCCCCTTTATTTCGAAAAATTCCATGTAAAAATGTGAATGTTACCAGCGGTCTCCTTGGTAGGAGGGAAGGGCCAAATCTGATAGGAGGTAAAGAGGAGGCCCCATTCTGAACAGAAGATCTGGAATACAAATGGGAAGCGAGCATAATGCGTAGTCAAATCATGGAAGATTAGTAGAAATGCCATTAGGGTGTAGGTGACCCTTCCCTTCTAGTATATTACCCACAATTATATATAAATAAATTGGTATACGTATAATAATAATGTATAAGTAATTATATATAGGGCCCCTATCCCGAGTGCATGTAACCATGTGCGAGTATGTATGTATGTATGTATGTATCACCAATTTCATTTTTACTTTTCAAATATTGAAGAAAAAATATATAATTAAATAGTTAATTAGAAGGAAAAAATGAAGGAGAAATATGAAATAATAAGATTAATTAATAGTAAAAGCAAAAGTTTAAAATTAAATGATTAGTGAGTTAAATTAAAAAAGAAATAAGAAAAAAAAGCATACATAATAAAAAGAAAAAGAAAAAAGATCTTTATTGTTTTAAATTAGTTTTTATAATTAAATATATCACAATCCAAAACAAATAAACTGTTTTTACAGAAGATTAAGTGTCAAATTTGAGAGATTAATGCAATTTGCTAAACCAGAACCTAAGCCAGATGCACCTTGATTACCAATTTTAATGTAATTTTTTAAATATTGAAGAAAAAATATATCATTCATTAAATTGTTATAATATGAAATAATAAGATTAATTAATAATAAAATTGGAGCAAAAGTTTAAAATAAAATGATGATTAGTGAGTTAAATTAACAAAGAAATAAGAAAAAAAAGCAAGTACCATAAAAAGAAAAAGAAAAAAGATCTTTCTTGTTTTAAATTAGTTTTTATAATTAAAAATATGATGATCCAAAACAAATAAACTGTTTTTACCCAAAATAACGTGTCAAATTAATGCAATTTGCTAAACCAGAATCTGAGCTTGATGCACCCATTTCACTAAGATTATTGCCACTTTTAAATTATTCAAGAAAAAATATATTATTAAATTGTTAATTAGAAGGAAAAAATGAAGAAAAAATAAGAAATAATAAGATTAATTAATAATATATGAATTAAATTAAAAAAAAATGAAAAAAAAAACAAGCAAAATAAAAAGAAAAAGAAAATAATCAAAATAAAATAAAAGAGCTTTAATTTTTTAAATTAATTTTTATAAATTAAAAATATTACAATCCAAAACAAATAAACTGTTTTTATCAATTATAAATGTTAATAGCAAAAAATCAAAGAAAATATGAAATAATAAATATTTAAAAATTGAAATTAAGTTAAAATATCTAAAAAAATTTTGTTTTAATAAAAATCAATCAATAATGATGAGAATTTCTATTAGAAAAATTATTTTTATGAATAAATTGAAAGTTAAATATATAAAAAATATTAATAATAATAAAAATAATATTTTTAAATTAAATATACTCTAGATCAATATGGAGAACCTAATGAGATAAAAGTGAAGAGTTTAAAAACTTTTTTTATTAAAATATATTAATTTAAAGGATATTAATAAAAAAATTAATAATTACTCTTTCTAAATTGTAATATTTTTAAATCTGTTATATCATTTTTTTTATTTTTCAAAAATGTTGAATAGAAATTTGTGGAATTTAATTAATTTTAAATGGGTAAAAAGAACAAATAAAATATAATAATTTATTATCAAATATTAATTTATGAATTTGCTTTACTAAGATATATCACAGAAAAATAAATTTAAAATTAAATATTTAATCTTAATATTTATATTTTAAATACATATTTAAAAATATAGTGGGAATTAGAGACAGGCAGTAAGTCATGTTAGAAAAAATTCTAGTAATAAATTAATGTTCTTCATTAATCTTATTATTTCATATTTTTTCTTCATTTTTTCCTTCTAATTAACTATTTAATCATATATTTTTTATTCAATATTTAAAAAGTTTTAATTCAATTGATGACAAAGGTGCATTAGGCTTAGGTTCTGGTTTGGCATAGTGCATTAATCTCTAAAATTTGACATTTAACCTTGGGTAAAAACAGTTTATTTGTTTTGGATTGTGATATTTTTAATTATAAAAACTAATTTAAAACAATTAAACTCTTTTTTCTTTTTCTTTTTAATGTGCTTGCCTTTTTTTTGTTCTTTCTTTGTTAATTTAACTCATTATTTTATATTAACTTTTGCTTTTATTATTAATTAATCTTATTATTTCATATTTTTTCTTCATTTTTTCCTTCTAATTAACTATTTAATGATATATTTTTTCTTCAATATTTAAAAAGTTTCAATTAAATTGGTTCAATGGGTGGTTCAGGCTTAGGTTCTGGTTTAGCAAATTACATTAATCTCTCAAATTTGACAATTGACCTTCGGTAAAAACAGTTTATTTGTTTTAGATTGTGATATTTTTAATAATTAATTAACATTATTATTTCATAGTTTTTCTTTATTTTTTCCTTCTAATTAACTATTTAATGATATATTTTTTCTTCAATATTTAAAAAGTTTCAATTAAATTGGTGACGAAGGTACATCAGGCTTAGGTTATGGTTTAGCAAATTGTATTAATCTCTCAAATTTGACAATTGACCTTCGGTAAAAACAGTTTATTTGTTTTGGATTGTGATATTTTTAAATATAAAAACTAACTTAAAACTATAAAGCTCTTTTTGTTTTTCTTTTTATTATGCTTCCTTTTTTTTTGTTCTTTATATGTTAATTTAACTCATGATTTTATTTTCAACTATTACTTTTATTATTAATTCATTAATGTTATTATTTCATATTTTTTCTTCATTTTTTCCTTCTAATAAACTATTTAATGATATACTTTTTCTTCAATATTTAAAAAGTGGCAATTAAATTGGCGACGAAGGTGCATTTGATTCATATGGTATACATCATTATAATGATTGGACAAGATAAAATGGTTTTATAGGTTTTATTAGTTGTATTCCTTCAATAATTGGTAATAAAGATTATGTTGTATGTTTAAATTAAATAATGATCCTAACGACAAAAGTTAAAATAAAAAGTAAAATTTGATTTCTCCTAGAGGTTTTATAAATCATGGTATTTATTTAATCATGATAAATAAAAAAAGATAGAAATATGATTGATGGATAATATTACAGATTAAAATATAACTGGAATATAAAAGCTTGGCATTTATATAATATATTAAGAAATAATATAACACTAAAAGTTTCAAATTATTTGATCGTTTTTGGAGAAACTAAAGGGTTGCTTAAGAGTAATTAATTAATTTAAGTAAATTTAATTTTTTTATTTTTTATAAATAATTTATTTACTTACAAAAATAGATATGAATGATATTTATAAATATAAATCAATAAAAAATCTATCTATTTGTTTATATTTTAGATTTAAAAAAACTTTTCAAAATATTATATAATATTATTCAAACATTTAATATTTATTCATCGTTTTTTTCGTGATTTCTTTATTATCAGAATAATTTTTTAAAGACAACTAGTCTTTTTAATTTAAGACACTTGCTTATAACTTTCAATTTTTATGATTCATTGATTAGGCTAATATTTTATAATAAATTTGTGTAAATTTTAAATAAATATCAAATAGAATAAACTTTTAAATTAAAAAATATTTCTTAAATTAATAAATAAAATAGCATTAGTGGTATAATAAAGATAAAAAAATAAATCAAATAAAAACTATAAAATAAATTCAAAGAGTTTTATTGTTTTTAATTAGTTTTTATAATTCAAAATATCGCAATCCAAAACAAATAAACTGTTTTTACTTAAGTTTAAGTGTCAAATTTGAGAGATTAATGCAATTTGCTAAACCAGAACCTAAGCCTGATGCACCTTCGACACCAATTTAATTCCAACTTTTTAAATATTGAAGAAAAAATATATCATAAAATAGTTAATTAGAAGGAAAAAATGAAGAAAAAATATGAAATAATAAGATTAATTCATTAATAATAAAAGTAAAAAATTTGAAAATAAAAAGATGAGCTAAATAAATTAACAAAGAAAGAACAAAAAAAAGCAAGCACAATAAAAAGAAAAAGAAAAAAGAGCTTTATTGTTTTTAATTAGTTTTTATCATTCAAAATATCACAATCCAAAACAAATAAACTGTTTTTACCGAAGGTTAAGTGTCAAATTTGAGAGATTAATGCAATTTGCTAAACCAGAACATAAGCCTGATGCACCCATTGCACTAATTTTATTACCACTTTTTAAATATTGAAGAAAAAATATATCATAAAATAGTTAATTAGAAGGAAAAAATGAAGTAAAAAATATGAAATAATAAGATTAATTCATTAATAATAAAAGTAAAAATTTGAAAATCAAAGGATGAGCTAAATAAATTAACAAAGAAAGAACAAAAAAAAGTAAGCACAATAAAAAGAAAAAGAAAAAAGAGCTTTATTGTTTTTAATTAGTTTTTATCATTCAAAATATTACAATCCAAAACAAATAAACTGTTTTTACCGAAAGGTTAAGTGTCAAATTTGAGAGATTAATGCAATTG